TCAATGTTGGACATGGAACTTTTGAATGTTCCAAAGTTTTATACCCATTAACATTAGTAAATTAAATAATGCTAACAAAATCCTAAACCAAAATCAAATCAATACTAATGCTAACAAAAGACATTCAATTCAATACTACGAACGGAAATGTATTGAATATCTATTTTTTGTTTTGCAATAACTTAGATAAAAATGCATTACCTATTTTTATTTTTTCTTTAGCGTTTAGTTATGTAATTAATACTCCCTTATGAGTCTACTTATTTTATCATGACTTAGTACTTTTAGATTATGTTTATTTTTATTATGGCTTTTTAATTAGCAATATTTATATTACATATTTTTATTGTCTTTATTGTCGAATATTTTAGGATAATGCCATAACACATCTCATAGTTTGTATTATTTTCTTGAAAAATACTTTATATATATAGTTGTATCTTACTAGGATTAAAGAAACATTTTGAGCACAATTTATATATTTGTTCTGCGAAGATTTTAGAGGGGGCAAAACTTGAATAACCCGAAAATCCGAGAAAAACCAAGAGTGAAAAACCCGAGTTTTATTGGTTTGGTTTGGTCTTTAGATTTAATAGCCCGACACAAATGGTTTGGTTTGGTAATTGTAAAATCCGAACCAACCCGACCTATGTATACCCCTAGTCAAAAGTAATATAAATCCAAACACCATTCATACTACAGAAGGAAAAGATAGTGTACTAGTAATAAAATTTTACTAGGGAGATAAATAAATAAATAAAAAAAGAGGATCGAGGACTGAGTCTGACTATGAGAAACAAAGTAAAAGCGTACTTGTTTAAAATTGAGGGGGCTAAGTGGCCTGTTCTTAAACTTCAGGTGATACTCGCCAGTCGCTGCAACTCCACAGCAATGCTGGTGCACTTTGATTTATAGGAAGATCGCGCGATCAAATTACAGTTTCAACGCTTTATTCCTCACTGGCAGCAGCACTGTGAAGACTGTTGAGGATAAAGAAATGGCGAATCCTAGAAACAAATTGTCTCCTTACCTTCTTATCTGGGTCTTGGTTTTATTCGGAACCCTAATTTTCATTCTGGTAATTTCATCATTCTTCTCTTTCTGGCTTGTTCTGTTTTCTCCTGACATTCCTTTTGAACTTCCTGTATTCTTGATTATGTCAATTGTATTCTCAGAACCGGTTGGGTGATACCGGAGTCGCATCGGATAAAGACATTAAAATCGAGCAGAATGATGAGGTTCAATTTTGACTTTATAAAGTAGCATTTTGCCGGCTTGATTTTGCTGAACTATAGCGTCTTGAATTAGTAATTGTTTAATTTTCAATTCACAATATGAGCATACATTTCGTGATTATAATTGTTGTAGGCGAAACCATCAGAGGATTTGGAGCACGTGACGCATAAAGTGTACTTTGATGTCGAAATTAATGGAAAGCCTACAGGTATTTTCCTTTGTATGTATCTTTCTAGAGTTATATATAGAAGAGAATAAAAAAGATGCCTTTTAGTTTGATCAAGTTTTATTGTTTGCTAAGAATAAGGTGTAGTTCTGGATTACTCTCTTTTGTTTTTCCCAATATAAAAAAAGTTCAGCGTAGGTTAGAAATGAGTAAATGGTAGATTATTCTTTCTGTCTATTTTGCTAGTATAATAAATTCGCATTGCGCCATACAAAATTTTTCATGGATGGATTTGATGACTGAATAGTGGAAGCTAAGTTTTATCCCCGGAGTATGCCTTCTAAATATACTAATGCTTTTACTCTGAACTTCTCTCCTTGTCATTTTTCTTTGTTTTTTATTGGGGAAGGAGGAGGGAAACTGGAAAGGGGAGGGGGATGGGATTTTGATCCTTCAACCACACGGTGATGGTCGGACGACCTCAACCAACTGAGCTGCCCTCTCACCCCGACTTCTCTCTTTGTCGTGTCTAGCCAGAAAACAAGAAAAAAGAAAAATGAAAGCGTAATAATTGAGAGAGGGAGCTATTAAGAATTTTAATAATAAATGGTTAGGGCCACTGTTTTAAGAATTTTATTGGAACTGGATAAGAAATGCATCGCGATTTCACTCACCTCTTACATGATGGTTGAAGATGGAATCTCCATCGTCTCTGAGCTCGAATTGTTGAGGCAGTATCCTCTTCAAGATTGGAGTTTAGTTAGCCTTCATGTCCATGTCTAGCATTTAGGGATGTTAGGTTGGTTGCATTAGCAAAGGTACTCCCTGCACAAAATTATATTAGTAACAGAAGGCACATAAGATTAAACATCACTGCACAAAATAAAGTAGTGTTTGGTGGGCCACATAAATAATCTCGCATGACTAATATATAGTTTGGTTGGCGGTGATAAACTTAATACATGCATAACTTATGAGGAAATCTATGTATTATTTTATGGGGATATAACATGGAATAAAAATACATGTATTAGCAATACATAAGGTATCTAATTACAAAAATGCTCTTCAAGTTGGTAACTTGCATAACATACCATATATTATTGATCATTGCATAACAATTAGCTTACAGCTTTATGGGGGTGGAAATTGTCACTAATTACTTGAATAAGATCCCACATGCCTAATGCTTTAAATTGAGCAACTAACGACAACATTGCCTCATTCAACTTATTGTCTTAACTCTTGAATATCGTATAATTCTAATTGATATTATTTAGATTTTTGGTTCTTACCATGTTGTTCATAATACATACAATTCCAGATAAACATATTGTAGTTAGAGCAGGTTTATTAAAGATTGCTAGATCTATTTCAGTTGTAATCATAGGTGGAAGAGTTTGTTGTGATTTCTTGTGGTTATCTTCTGAACTTAAATCTTTTTTTTTTTTTTTGAATAAGGGTAATAACTTCTGAACTTAATCTTCTACATATTGATTACTTTCCTTTCAGGTCGTATTGTCATGGGCCTCTTTGGAAAAATTGTCCCAAAGACAGCAGGTACTCCATCTTGTGCTGAATTATGTTGTCTCCTTTTGGCATTGTACATTAAATCTTGTTAACTGTATTGATGAACTTGCTGTATAATTATTTTTCTACAGAAAACTTCAGAGCTCTTTGCACGGGTAGCCAAGTAACTTTTGTTCCCTCTTCATATTTATGCATTTAACTACTATTATCTCATTTAAATTAACGAAAATGTATCATATTTGAGTTCCGTTTTTCTGAGAGATTCAGATCCAGCACAGTACATTTTATCTGAACATCAAGTTACTAAGAGGATACTATTCTGGAAATTCTTATAAATTTGTGCTCTCGGATAATTTGGCTAATTTCATTACTTTAGAAGTGAACCCAGCAGTGAAATAAAAGCAATAGCAAAGGTAGTTAGAGTGTATTGGACAAAAACAAAAGAATATTTGTATTACATTTGAGGTGGAAGGAGAGACATCCTATACTGAAGGATTAAACTCATGTCCATGCTGTAATGTATGTTGGAGCCAAAAGCAGCTTCCTCTAATTGCCACAGGTCATTGCTGATGCAAGGGCCAAAATGCTTTTTCTTCCTTGACCAGTTTATTTCAAGAAACATCTACATTTGCATGAGGGTTTTTTTGTTATCTATTTGTTTCTGTGAGGTCCCTTTTAGCATTTCATCTTCTCCTTACTACCTGTTCTGGACATGGAGGAAAACGGAAACTATCACCTAAGAGGGAGAATCATACTGCTTGCTAGCCTTTTAGCAGGTCTTATGGCTAGACTGACGTTAGACAAGGAGGGTTTTAAAGTAGATGTTAAGCAATTCCCCCAGATGGAAAATAAATGCATAAAGATGATGAAGCCTCACCACCTTTCTATTGCGCTAGCATCTACAATGCACGCTAATACTAAACTTACCAGTCTGGCAAACATTTATCACTCAACTTGTAGGGGAAAAAGGAACTGGGAAGGCTGGCAAGCCTCTCCATTACAAAGGTAGCACTTTCCACAGGATCATACCGAGCTTCATGATCCAGGGAGGCGATTTCACTCGCGGTGATGGGCGAGGTGGAGAATCTATATATGGTGAAAGCTTTGCAGATGAAAACTTTGATCTAAAACACACTGAACCTGGTGAGATTTGACTGTTCAATAGTAATTAGTTGTTGCCTTCTTTTGTGTTTTATTCAATGGTGCCATATGCACTTTCCATAATGGGAAGTGTTTTTGACAAGAATGATTTTTCATCTACTGATAGACCTTTGTTTTCGGAAAAGGTATTCTGTCAATGGCAAATGCTGGACCGGACACCAATGGGTCTCAATTCTTTATCACAACTGTAACCACTGGCTGGTATTCAACTAAGTCCTTGCTTTTGTGTAACTTATCTACTACTCAACTCTTAATTTGCTTGGCCTTAAATTGTTTACTGTGTTGCACTCCATTTTGGTTGTATATGAGTCACGCATATACTGAATTTTGGGTCACCTTTTAAAATGTTTACTTCCGTGCCATGGTTAGGTTGGATGGGCATCATGTTGTCTTTGGCAAGGTGCTGTCTGGGATGGATGTTGTCTACAAAATTGAAGCAGAAGGGAGAGGAAGTGGAACCCCGAAAAGCAAAGTTATAATATCAAATAGCGGTGAACTACCTTAATGATCCAACTTTCCATGTATCAAAACACCTCAGATGTTTGATAATGCTTGCCCTCGAACAAAAGTCAGTTTCATATGCTGTCAAGAAATCTGTTATAGGACTATTGCGGCTTGTAAAGTTAAAACAACCCTCTTGAAAGAGGATCACGACTGCTGCTTAGAATAGACAGGGCTCGTTTTATGAAAATCGTTATAAAACCTTTGCTTCTATATGTATTTCATAAAAGATTTTGAATGAATTCTTGGTAATATATACCAGAGGTATATTGAAATTTCCTTTCGTTCTTATCTTTGTTACGAATGAAACTTTTCTGCCAAACAAAGTGGCTACTCATTCATTGTGCTGGAGGTTGCCAACCAATGTTACCAAATTCACGCAGCGTAGACAAGTAGCTTCAATGAATCATTCTTCAAGACTACTAGCAGTACCAGATGATTTTAAGTATTACATGCTCAAACCTTAATAAGAATTTAGAACAAACTTGCTCTTATTACTAATGTTTAATACAAACTACGTAAGTTCTCGATTTTTCATCTCCAAAATAGGTATGTAAATGATTTCTAGATAACAGAGCAACATCAGGTAGTGACACAACGCGCAGCTCGGCAGACATTGAGAGCGTTATTCGTGATATTTCAACCAAAAGTTTTCAATCCAATAAAGCGAACTAGCTAGATACTAGGATTAAAAGGAAGTTAAAATATTTATGGTAGAAAATTTAGAGAAGCCTCATAGGTGTCTCTGGTCGTTGTTCTCATCTCCAATGGCATCGTTTCCCTGATGAAACACGGTGGAGAAATTGGTGGATAGATCAGAATACAGAGAAACGACCTTGGAAATGTTGCCATTAAGCTCCTGAATCAGACCCACGTTCTGCACCATATTGTTATGCGATCTCGCCTGATGATTCTCGTTGACCTGCTGAATCAACAATCTGTTCCGATCCAGTACCGACTGCACTTGCCGGAATCTGTTGGAGAAGTCGTTCCACATCTCGGAGTTGTCTTCCTCCATACCGCCGTCCGCGTTCTCGTCCCTGTGCTCCTCGGTGTAATACGCTTCAACGGCAGAGCTATAACCGCCGCGCCGGCGCCGGCGGTCGTTAGTCGAGGCAGTGGTGGTAGTTGGAACGTTAAGTGATTGAGCTTTGGCTAGGGTTTGACGACGGCGTTTGAGGTTTGAAGTTTCTTCCATGCTGAATTCAACTGCTGATTAACGATAATCTACATAATATAATCAGCACTAATTTGTGTCATAAATACATATGCTCTGTTTTCTGGGGAGGTGTAGATAGAAAAGTGTATACATATCTTCTGCAGATTAGATTTTTTCTTCCTCATTTCCGTGTGCTTGTGGCAGCTCACAGAGATGACTAAAACCATGATGCGACACTGCTCATTCACGCGATATCGTTGAGCGTTGATTTTGTGAACAAGGACAGAGAGAAGAAAGAGGGTGAAGGATTGAATAGCACGCGCATAATAAGAGAGTTGGTGTAAGTTTGAGGCGAAAATATCTCATGGAGGATTATTGGACGGCATTAAAATAATGAAAAAGTGCAAAAGGTCGCAATTTGAAATGTTTGCTTGGGAATCAAAGTAGAAATATCTACCGGAGAGGTACTCTTTTTCCTCCCATATTGACCATAGATTTTCTTGTGCTTTTTCTTTTTCGTGTGTGTCAATTTTGATTTGAAAGGTGCATTGTAAGAATAAATATTGTGAAGTTAAATATTAACAAGAAAATTGTTGTTGGTGTTTATCACCCAAATTTGAGGAAGATGATACCAAACTCAACTAGACAAATGATAATGAGCCTTCATGAAGTATGTACTAGCCCAAAATGACATAAGATTTTGGATCAAGGATGCTTCCGGGCTCAACCCATTATGAAAAAGGAATGGGTCATGTCCAGGATATGCCTTCAAGGAACTGTCGGGTGATTTGCATTTATACCCGCTTTTTGGATCACGTTTTAACTTATACCCGTTTTACAAAAAAAATTGCAAGCGTACCCACTTTTCGCGTAAACTTCAGGCATACGGGCCTGAAGTAGCAAAGACAATCAGGCAAACTTCAGCATTCTAGTAGACGGGCCTGAAGTTGTTTGTAATTGCTGAACTTAAGCATTCTACTAGCTGAAGTTCTGTTCTCTATTTGCTGAACTTCAGCATGTTTTAGCTGAAGTTTTTGCCTGAAGTAGCAAAAACTGCTGAACCAAGTGTTGGCTGAAATTTTTGTTTGTAATTGCTGAACTTAAGCATTCTACTAGCTGAAGTTTTGTTCTCTATTTGCTGAACTTCAGCATGTTGGCTGAAGTTTTTGTTTGTAATTACTGAATTAAGCATTCTACTAGCTGAAGTTTTGTTCTCTATTTGCTGAACTTCAGCATGTTTTAGCTGAAGTTTTGTTCTATATTTGTTGAACTTCAGCATGTTTAACTCTTATCTAAACCTAAGGATCTCCCAAATTTTCAGCGCTTGCAGGTTGTTGTGGGCTACTAGAAGCTAAAAGTTGTTCAAAAAATGCTGAATCACGGCAGCAGTGATGCTTCATCTGCAAGAAAAGCCTCAATCACTCACGTAATCTTTGACATGGACGACCTTCTTCTAGATATATATGTGTATATATCATTCTGTACAAGATCTTTCTTACGTGATTTACTATAGGTCCATTCTATTTTGCAAATCTGGTATGACTTGAGAATGCAATGCCCACTGTTTCTTGACCCAATTGCTCATTTTGCCAATAACTGGTAATGTGCTTGTGGGAATTTCCTATAAGTAGTTTTTCAAGGGTTGGTATACCTTTGGTATGCAATCGTTTGCTTAAATTGTTTGACAGAGTCTCATGTCTTTGAGAGAGAAAAGAAGAAGTAGAAGAAGAGGAAAAGAAAGGAGGAAGAAAGGAGCGCACTGGTAGTAGGAAGAAGGAGGAGCGTGAAGTTGTAAAACTTAGGGTATAGGTTAAATAATTTTTAAAATATGGGTATAGGTTAAATGGGGGCGACCAAATAGGGCACCACGTGCAATTTTTACGGAACTGTCGGACTTGGAATAAGCATGGGTAGAAATGACACAAATAGATACTTTTAAATATGTTGTTTAAAATATATTCACGATTTACAATTTATTTAAAAGATTAGCCAATTCGCTCAAACTTCAGGACATAATGTCCTCAAGTTCAAACTTAGGACACCATATCCTAAAGTTCGAAAATTGTGTACAGAAATTCAAATATTATGTCCTGAATTTTAAATTAGCAGTTCAGAGATTCAGGACAATTAGTCATGAATAGCAAATTAGCAGTTCAGAAATTCAGGACACTTAGTCCTGAATTTCATAGCAGCTCAAAAAGTTAGGACACTAAGTCCTGAATTCTAAATTAGCAATTCAAAAATTCAGGATACTTAGTCCTGAAATTTGGGTGAATTAGTTAATCTTTAAATACATTATAAATGTCATGGGCGGCTTTCCAGCCATGCCCCATGACCCCTTGGGCGCGCCCCGTGGCGTCCTAGCAAACCTCCCAATGCCTAGCCCCACGGACGGCCCCGTGGTCTTGGCCGCGCCAAGTGACAAGCGCGCAGGTGCCTCTGTCGCCCCACCGATATCCCTCGCGAGCGCCAAGCCGCAGGCAGAAGCCAACAGCGCCGCGCGCGCAGACCGTGATGCCAAAGACACTGCTGCTGACAACGGACCTGCTGCTGCCTTATAGAAAACTAAGTCATTTTCATTGTAAATATAGAGTAGTTTTATTTCATGTACTTCCATTTTGTTTCTCTAGCTTAGTCAAGTCTAGTCTTGTAACTTTGGATTATATTTTTTAAGTACTATTAGGGGGGATCAAGCAATCAAAACTTTCTAGCAAGCAAGCAAATTCTCTGTACTGGTGTCTCTCCCCCTCGACACCGCGTTGCTTTTCTGTAATAGCTTTCATTAATGCAATCAAGCTTTCTTTCATTCTGAATTCTCATTTATGTTCTCTCAATTGCTCTTGACATTGATTTTCCCGTACGGCACTGACAATCTCGTCTAGCGTACGGAGGGGACCTCAGTTGGCGGACAGCAACTGCACTGACATCAGTTGCCTAGCCTTACGTCGCCCTTCCAAGGAATCTCAGGAAGGCGCCGCGTAACAGTTGGTATCAGAGCCTAGGCTCGACATCAGACGAGGGAACGTATTGACATACCACCATTTCTGACCATGGTGAATCATGGGGACCGCATTGCGGCCCTCGAAGGGACGGTTGAGGTATTGCGGCCTATTATGGATACGGTGCCTGAACTAAGAACCAGCCTACTGCAAAGGTTGGACGACCTAGACCGCAGGGTGCTTCAGGTCGAAGTTGACGTTGAAAACATCAGTCGCGACTCCGAGGGAGACCGGCAGACGGCAGCCACAGAGGCAGCCGAAATCTTTGAGAAATTCGAGGGGCTCCAACAGGAGCGCACCGAGGATTTAGCCCACAGGGCACAAGAGGCAGAAAAGGTGACTGCCATGCAACAAACCATTGACAAATTGACAGACCAACTCAATGTTGTCAACACTGCTTTACAGGGCCTACTCCGAGGAGGTGGAAACCAAATCGGAGGTGCTGTGAACTCCGCTTCCGCGACAAAGAAGCTGAAAATTCCTGAGCCAAAGCCATACAGTGGAGCTAGGAATGCCAAGGAAGTGGAAAACTTCATCTTTGACGTCGAACAGTATTTCGATGATGTTGGAGATCTGGAGGAAGCTAAGAAGGTAGCAACTGCTGCCATGTATCTTCAGGGTGATGCTAAACTCTGGTGGCGTGTGAAGTACGAAGCCATCAAGGCCGGTGAAGATGCTCTCGAGACATGGGCCGAACTGAAGGCAGCTATACGCCTGCAGTTCTTCCCCGAGAATGTTGAATATAATGCAAGGAGAAAACTACGGGAGCTCCGCCAGACAAAATCAGTGCGGGACTACGTGCGAGAATTCTCCGCACTCATGCTCAGCATACGCGACATGGGGGATAAGGACAAACTCTTCACCTTCATGGAAGGGTTGAAACCTTATGCCCGCGTGGAGCTACAGAGACAAAGGGTAGATTCCCTTCCCAAGGCAATCCAAGCAGCTGAATGCCTTGGGGACTATCAAATGGAAGCTCGAAGGGACAGGCCTCAGCCGCCTGCCCGAGCAGGGTTCAAAGGGGGCCAACCCAGCAGTGGTGGCCCTAGCAAAAATGGGGGAGATCGGAACTCAAACAAGTCTAGAGCTCCTTCCTCCGGCAGCAACAGTGCTACGCCAAACAACAATGACCGGGCGAGAAAGCCCCCTTCAGGATGCCGTCATTGCGGCGGTCCCCATTGGAACAATGAGTGCCCACATGCACAGATGAATGCCCATCAGGCTATGGATGATGGGACTGATGACGACTCAGACGATGCGGAACAGACTGAACCAGTAGGTGCCTTCAATGCAATTGTGGGTTCCATTTCTGAGGCACTAGCGGAGACCAGTGCTGGTATTCGTAAGAAGAAGGACTCATGTCCCGTCACCAGGAAAGGGAAAAAGAAGGCGAATGAAGAGACTCCTCTTAAACAAGAGAGGACCTTAATGTTCGTCGAGATGAAGGTGAATGGCAAGCCCATTCGGGCTATGATAGACACGGGTGCTACCCACAACTACTTAGCCTCGACTCAGGTGGAGCGCCTTGGACTAGTTGTAGGGAAAGGTAAAGGTAGCGTCAAGGCTATCAACTCACCTCCCCAGCCAGTGGGTGGAATAGCTAAAGAAGTACCGGTGAAGCTTGGGCCTTACGAAGGAAAATTCAACCTGCGAGTGGTGATCATAGATGACTTCGAGTTGATTGTTGGGCTGGAATTCCTAAGGCAAACCAACACCATGCCTGTACCATTTGCAGACATGCTACTGATGATGGGTACCAATAGGGCCAAGCCCTGCATTATCCCGTGCCTGCCCATGAAGATGGCCGTTGAGAACATCTCGGCCTTGCAGTTGAAGAAGGGGGTCAAAAGGAATGAACCTACGTTCCTGGCAACCCTCTGCATTGAAGATATAGAACGCTCCTCGGGTCCCATTCCTGAACCCGTGAAGGAGTTACTACTGGAGTTTGAAGATGTCATGCCACAAGACATGCCAAAGCGGCTCCCGCCTAGGCGCACTGTGGACCATGAAATTGAGTTGGTGCCGGGCGCGAAGCCACCTGCCCGGGCGCCTTACAGAATGTCACAACCCGAACTCACCGAGCTTTGGAGACAATTGACGGAAATGCTAGATACAGGGATCATTGTACCCTCCAAGTCCCCATATGGGTCCCCTGTTCTATTCCAAAAGAAACATGATGGAAGCCTGCGACTCTGTGTGGATTATCGAGCTCTAAACAAAATCACCGTGAAGAAAAAGCACCCTATTCCCCTAATGGCGGACTTGTTTGATAGACTGGGTGGTGCTACGGTGTTCATCAAGATAGATCTGAAGATAGGTTATTGGCAAGTTCGGATTGCAGAGGGTGATGAACACAAGACGACTTGTGTGACAAGATATGGGTCGTACGACTTCCTGGTCATGCCATTTGGCTTGACC